TTTGAAACTTCTCTAGCATAAAATTCATGTATCAAAGCACTACCACCAGTGACTCCAAAGCCAGTTGAAAACCTATCATTTTAAGCAGACGTGTAAGCTCACAATCAGTTTTCAAATTCATGAAAATTATTCACACAAAAAATACACATCCATATTCTTCATCTGTGGTCAGAATATTCTATTGAAGTAGACCAAACAACCCAAGAAAAATAAAAAAATGAAGAGACCTCTTATCTTGTATCGAAGACCAATAAACATCAGAATAATCATTTTTATAGTCAATTTATATTATTGAGCTAGAGGGGCCACAAAAAAAATAACCACAAATGCCAGCAAGAAGGTTTTGACAATATCCATTGGCATACACCATCGGCAATATGATTGAACAATAATGATAAATCTTTTTATTCTCTGTATAATTATTTAAAAAGTTTGCCAGGCATCTTAAATAAAGCTATCAAAAAGACAGGATCCCTTATTGCATCAAATTCTTAAATTCAGAAATTTGATATCTCAGTCAAGGTAGTTTAGTTACAGCTCTAATGAGATTTTAAAAAAAAAGATGAATTAAAAAGAAATTCAGAGTTGAAATAATAAGAAAGAGTAATATTTCTCATATCCTATTTTTTTAACCAAAACTTCCAATGAGAAGTATGCATATGAAAAGAAAACATAAAAAGAAATACATGACAATGAAAAGACTGCAAAGAGAATATCCAATGTCAGGGACTTGATATCCAAGTTATCCAAGATAAAATAACAGTCAGCTAAGGGCCTCTTGGGAGTTTTGGGGTACTAGTTATGGTGTTGTTTTAAAGTAAAGGTTTTGGGCTTTCACGATGGGTCCGATTTTAGGTGATTTTTAGTTCCGATTTTAAAATAATTCAACCCATACATGAGAGTTTTTTATCGAACTGTTCTGATAGTTTTTTACAAGATTAAATTACATATATGCCCCTCAATGAAATTTTAAATTTCTTGTATGAAATTTTGTTACTCATAATCGATAATTTATTTATAATTAAAATTTTAAGTTCTAAGTGACTTTTTACAACTATTTCAATTATAAGTTAGTTTTAACAAATAAATAATGTTTTACACAAGTGAATTTTTAGTTATAATTTTTTATATTTTATAATATTATTGAAGTGTTGACTTATTAGTAGTATTTTTTACCTTATAAGCAATTTTAACACAAGTAAATTTTTACTTGTAAGTAAATTTTTAAGTTATAAAATAATTTTTTTTGCTTATAAATATTTTTTTAGTATTTTATTTTCATTTACAAATTATTTTTGAACAAAATATGTGAGTTGGAAATAATTGTTTTATAGAGGGTAAATTGGAAGAAAATTCGAAGAACGGTCAAAAGCTATCGATTTGGAGTTGAGAAACACGCACCAACTTATACAACACTGGTTTGAACCAACCAAAACTAATGCTCTAAAAAACTAAAAACAACCGGTTTTCCCAACCTTTCGTAAACGGTTCCACCCAAAAAGGGCCAAAACTGGTGGGAAAAAACTCCCAAGCAGGCCATAAGGGTTATTCTGGGATGGAAAATTGAGATTTCTATTCCATCCACCATATGCTCCCAAATAACCAGCAAGTGGTGATGTGAGTTAAGAACATATTGGAAAAACCATGCACAATAATTTTACCATAAAAGCTAGCAAATAAATATATTTTGCATGAATAAGTCAGTATATTTCAACCATTTAACTAAAACTCCACTAATTCATGAATAACTCCAACAGCAAGAATATTAGTTTCGAATGGAAAAGGATATAAAATACATATCGCAGGATTTAGTCATGGTTTAAAAAGGCGGTAGTGAGGCGCATGTAGTATACCTCGAGACGGTATTTTTGAGGCTAAAAATATAAGGCTCACACTTAATTTAAAATTTGATTTTTCAATTGTATGAAAAGAAATTAGAAATAGCCCTTCTTAAAAAAGAAAATAGCTCATTTAAAAAGGCATTTTAGGCCCAAACAAAACAATAAAATACCTAGAAAGATGATGGAAAAATTAGATATGATGATGAGTCCATTAATGATACTAGTAATAGTGATGATAGTGCAGACTATTAGGCTTTTTTTTTAGTTTAAGCTGTTTCTTTTTTTCATTGCAAATGGAGTGATTTCTAACTTCTGTAATGCTTTTTTTTTTATAAACATCTTCTTTCTTAAGGTAAACTATATCTAAATATGTTAATTAGCTATATATCTTATTTACTATATGTTCAAACTTTGATTTTTTTGTATTTTTGTATTATTTTATAATTCTTTTACTTAAATTTTTTGTTTTATGTGAGGCTTACTCCTCAATTCGCCTCAAAGCTTACGCCTCGCCTCATAAAGAAAAACCGCCTCAATACTTAGTTTCGTCTTTTTAAACCTTGGATTTAGTTATCAGATAAATTTTGTATGAATGTAGTTTCCCTCTACGTTACCAACTTTGTAATTGTAATATACCGAAGCAAGTTCTCCCCCAAATCCACAATTAATAATATCATGACTGACGTGAATCTACAGAAACTGCAGCTTATATTTAACTTCGAGCTAAAGTAAGTTGCAAGACCACATGGTGAATCACTTCTATGACAAGAATTTTCATGAAGGCATATCATGATGTTAGTGAACCCAAGAATGAGTATGAAATGGCAGCATTAGGGTTAAATAAGATTGCCTCTTGATAAATTAGGCAGACTGGCAAATAAGAAAGTAGATACTGAACTACAACATTGCTATGAGCATAACTTTATAAATAAAAAAAAATAACTGTGTGCAAACAAGAATAAGTGCTCATAAAAGTAAAAATACCTTTGACAAGCATCTGGATACATAACAATGAAAACAAAAAAGGGAGTAATAGAGATTACCATCCAACAATGACTTCCTTTGGATTCACTTTCTGGTGGGATAGCAACATATTGTGATGATAATCGATATCCAGCGCAACCTACAGCCAAATTAAATTGCAAAAACTAAGTTTCATATAGTAAGCATAAAAGGTCCCATTTCAATGTTTGTTTTGCTATAAAGTGAATCGTGTTTCTTGGGTTTTATGAATCATGTTTCTTGTTGTAAACATCCACGTGTGTTCTGGTGGTATAACTCATAGAATTTCCCTATATACAAAAACAATAAACCTTCCGGCGCCTTACAAGAATGACTATTTAGTAGCAGAAAAGGCTCTCCCCTAAATATTCAGAAAAGTACAACAATGTGTCCTTCACTTTTCTACAAAAGAATAAACTAGAGATGTCACAATGGAAAATGGAGAAAACTGAACCTGATCTGACGACTCATTGTGCGGGACGGCGTAAGAGTTGCGAATATCAACGGTACCGTCGGGTAAAACGGATCCGAGGAGAGTGCCAATGACCCTCTCGGCTTGGTCGGGTCGCCGGACATAGAAATCGCAGATGTTGAAGACGACTAACGGATGGACCCTAGCCGATACACTTGTCGGTGATGATGAAAACTGCAACACCGTTGGCCCACTCGACGCCATCCTTTGATTCCCGGCGATGCAATAGTGAGCGAGCGTGCGAGGGAGAGAGGTCCTAGGGCTCTGGGGTGAACTGCGAAGATAGAAGAAAGAGACTGGGTTGGGTATTGAAATGGGCCGTGTTTCGTGGCCCAGGCCATGAGTTCTTTAAAGGGTTCGTAAGGCCTGCGTGTCCTGTTGGACGACTACACGTTCGGTTCCCCTTGGGCCTGACTTGAGCCCTGTGAACCACAGGACAACTTACAAAAATACCCTAAAAATTAAGAGTCTTTTAAAAAATCATATGAAACATATTTTGAAAATAAAAAATACTATGTAGAATCAATTGTCACTTTTTTAATAGAAGAAAAAGTGACACGGTAAAAAAAAGTGACACTGAAAAAGTGATCCACTGTCACTTTTTAAAATTAAATGTCATTTTTTTATTAAAAAATGACATAATGTCACTTTTATTAAAAATTGATATTTATCACTAAAAAACTTGATAGAAATCAATAAGGCGACTGAAAAAAGTGATAAATACTAAAAAAAAAGTGACAAAATTCAAAAAAGTGACAATTTTTTTAAAAAAATAACGAATTCAAAAAAGTGACTCAAATTAAAAGAAATTATACGGATTAAAAAATTGACGGAAAATAAAAAAAGTGACAAACACTCGATGAAAATTTGAAAGAGTTTCAAACACTTAAAAAAGTGACAAAAATTTAAAAAAAGTGACAACAATAATTAAAACATTAAAATCAGTTCAATAAAATGCAGAAAAAAATGATACAACCACCGTCCCATTACATAGCTTTCTTGCTTGTTGAAGCAAAATAATTGAAAAGTTACTTAAATATATGAACTTCTGTTTTAATTTTTAGCAGAGGAAATATTCCGTATGCATTTTCTTTTCTTCATTTGAAACAGGGTATAGAATCTGGAATACTTCTATGCAGTCCACCCTCTCTCTCTCTCTCTCTCTCTCTCTCACACACACACACGCACACACACACACATACACATTATTGCTCTGCGAGCAGTTTACTTTATAGAGTTTTGATTGTTTGGTCAAAACAACAAGAAGCCAAGCCTCATTCCCAATCAACGTTGAGTTGACTACATCAATCATATTTTTGCAATTCTATTTGATATAGGCTCTAAATCTATTGAAAGTTTCAATAAAGACAAATCCTTTGCAACCACAAGAAACCATGTTAATTTGTCCACCTCTCCCCTCTACTGGGATTGCGCTGCTGCTGTGAATGGGAGAGGTGCAGTAGCACCAGTAAATAAAAATTCTCCATTAACGATTTGAAAACTATTAGCTCTACATTATTTTGAGCTACTTCTGTGAAGGGAATAAATGTACAACTTTACTTTCTTCCACGAGTCCTCTTAGCCTCTGTTTTTGTATATGGATTTGCTAAAACCTTCGGCATCACAGTAAGGGCACAAAATGGCATCAACAATAATCACACTCGACAGTAAAATCGAAATAGGCATCAACTGTTGAGGGTCGACAGCATTCCACCAGTTGTTGTTGGGATAACAACTTCCCAACCAAGTCCTTTAAGAGGAATAGGGGTCGGCTTTGCCTTATGGTTTTCGTCATCTGAAGAACTCACAATCAGATCACTGCGATCCAAAATTTTCTCCAGATTTTCGTCACTAATGCTCGTTTGTATCCACTTATCCTCTCCGTCTTCTTCATCTCGAAGAAACGCTAGCAGTTCATCTTCCTAAGAAAACAAAATTGGATCAGTGAAAAGCACATGAATGAAACACATGCAACAAAATGGTAAATGTGCAGGGTGCACGAACCGTCATGACATCACTTCCATCTGCCTTTGTTCTTTCTTGCTTAAACTGTCATTTCCCGATCACCACATGCTCAAGCTTCAACTTGCTAAAAGCTCTTTTCAGGATTTGACCTTGATAAAATCACATTGAAGGTTTCTTCGTTAAAAATTAAAAAAGGGGGGCTGAAATATGAGAGAGGAGACCGATGCGGCTTATGAAGCACACTTCAACAGACTGGGCAGTAGTTAGCCTATAAACATGAACAGGTTTTGTTTGCCCAATCCTGTGACACCGATCCATCGCTTACAAATCCATCAGTAGGTTCTACAGTGCAAGGACAACTTACAAACATTTAAACCTCAAAAGAGAATACAGATGACCTCTAGATTAGGAGATTTATAGTTGGATTTGCTCAGATTTTGCTCGTAACTTCACCTCTAGACATTTGGGACTACAATGGGAGAGGAAACGTTTCTGAGGAGGAAGGGGTGATTATGTGGTTTGGGCTTGTTGTAATTAATCAGGTTGGGTTTTGGTTAGAGTTAATTAGGTGGTTTAGGACGTATTTAATACTTTCTTAAAATGTTTAATTAGTTTAAGGGTATTAATCAAAACACTTCAAAAAAAAAAAAAGGTATAGAGCCTAATTTTTCCTTGTTTTTAAAGGGTTCGTAAGGCCTGTGTGTCCTGTTGGACAACTACACGTTCGGTTCCCCTTGGGCCTGACTTTAGCCCTATGAATCACCGGCCTCGAAAAGAAATGTTAGAATTAAGCATGGGTAAATGAAGCCTATTATCCTTTTAAATTGACTAAATTGAATAATAGCCTTTTTAAACTAATTAAACCAATTAACACGTAATTAATTCGTCATATAAGTTCCAAACCACCCAAAACATTTAGTATCCCCAATTTCTGAAGACAAACCCTCCCCAATTCCAATAACCACAATATTTGCATGGAGAGTATTGGTAGGGGCAATATCAGCTTCTTTGACAATCCCCTTGAATATTGTGAAGACTACGTTGATGACTTTGGTTCATGGAGAGGCCACAAATAAGGTTGTTGCTGCAATGTATGGTAGAATTGCAACCATCATTGAACAGATTTTGACAAAATAGAGATGGCTTGGATTTTCTCATGGAATAGGGCCTATAGTTCTTTGTAATGCTTGCCTTTTCAGTTATAGGGTACTTTGCTTTCGAGATAACTAGGCTTACACTTTTTAATTAGTATTTGAAGCAAAAGGAGCTTCAAACCGTGGCACTTGCTCCCATGTTCAGGGGCGAATCTAGGGGGTCGCGAGCTAAGGTGGCTGCCCTAGCTGGATACGTCAAGAAGAAATTTTTTTTGTTGAGAATAGATAAAAGATTTATATTATATATCTGATAATTCATTTTATTTACAATCATCCTTGTTAGGTCAGTTGGTTGACGTTTCCTCTGTTAAACCAAAGGTCCCGGGTTCGAAACCTTACATATGTTGTGTAATTTTTGTAAACAATTTTTACCAAAAACAAGTGCAAAGTAGATTCGAACATGTGACCTTTGCTAAAGTATACTGATAGATTTACCATCATGGTAAGCATTAATTTGTCACACTCAAGGAAACAAAATGAACATTTTAACCGGTGATTTGTCCCTCTTCTTGATTATTTTTTTCTCCAATCAATTTATTTGAGAGTTTAGTCAATTAATGACGAATGAATTTGTAAAAAAAAAATGGCCTTAGTGTCATAAGGAGACTTTCAACAAAACTTATTTAATTAATAGAAAGTTCCACTTTTCTTTCACAAAAAAATCGATTGCGGAAAAGTGAAATCACACAAGCACATAAAATTGATATAAGCACATAAATAATTTCAACTTTGTTAATATAATAATGGTTGTTTAATTAACTTTAATTGTAAACTGAATATTGATATTTTGTTAATATTTATTGCATGTTTGATTGAAAAATAAATTAGAACATTTTTCAGATTATATAACGATTTTTTCATCCGAAATGAAAGTTGGTACCTAATTCTAGTTCTAGTGGTGTATTTAGTTCTTCTAGTTTTAGTCCGTACGATTTTTTGAATATTATTTAATTAAATATTAATAAACAACATCGCTATCACAGACGTTGACCGTAAGCTTTCAATGTTCGCCGTCCGCCCTAGCTGAACTCGAGCCCTGGATTCGCCCCTGCCCATGCTCACGTAGCCGCTCAACCAAAGTGGATGTGAATTGACCTCAAGTTTGTGTGAGAGTGTTAATTTGGTGAATGTTCTTATATTTCCCTTTTTCTTGTAGGATTCATTCAATTTTCTGTTTAAGAATTTACACCGATAAATGTGCATACATCATATTCACAAAACGTACCGTTTATATACGTGAAATCAAAACATAAATCGACTTACCAAAAATTGAATTTGAGAAGGTGAAATGATAATTACCGAAGTCGAATAGATGACTACGGATTCAATCATTTCCATTCTTATTACATTCTTTGATTCAAACTTTTCAATATAAACAGAAGAATGTTATTCATTTTTCTGAAATCAAACATAATTGAAAGAAATTAGAAAATGAAACAAGGAATTGCAAGTGATAGGATTGGCCGAGGCAAGTGTTCAACACTTTGTCCTTAAAATGAATTTATCTCGCATCAGTGCTAGCGATTTTTCGACAATCATCTTCCAAAATACAACGACCACGTCTCACAATAGGGGCACTCCAAATTACATAGACCAACAAACTCGAACAGAGTTTCCTCTCTACCGAAACTATGATTTTGATGCAAAAAATGAATCACTTCTACAAAGTGTTCTTGAGCAAAACCATAGTGAAATATGGAATTGAATGAATAATAAACATCCTAGGGATTCTTTATATAGAAGGTAAAGGGGTGTGGTTGGAGAGACGCACCCCAAAACTCCATTTTTTTTCATGAAGGGATGCAACCCGTTCCGTTGCTCACCTATCGCTCATGTGGCGCTCGAGCGGCGTAGTGTAGTGAGCTATCGCTCGCATGGTGCTGGCCAGTCGCTTGAGCGGTAGCCGCTGTAGCCTCACATGCTGAATTCTGATTTTTTTCCTTCAAATTTTGTACCGTAATTTCTCAATCATCCTAAATTAATTTTTAGATTCAAAATATACTATGACGATCTACTCGAAGATATAGAACAAGAACAAGTTAGTATATTTGATTTGACTATCGGATCAATTCCAAATATTTAATCGAAATTGACACAATTCACTTTTCAAGTTTTATACTTGACCAAATTTTTTCAATCTTAAAACCAAATTCCTACATTTTCTGTTGGTATGCTTATATTAAATTCTAGAAAAGAGTGTCCTTTTTGTTTTATAAATGTAAGGTACTTTGTTGTAATTTGTTTTTGTAATTAGTATTCTACGAGAATAATGGTTTACTACTTGTAGCCAATGTAGCAAAATATTAAATGCTATAATTGTTCAAGTATGAATTACACACAAGTTAAATTATAGTTGCTATTTGCTGAATAATTTTTGTTTACTTTTGAAACACGCTATTGTTTTCTTGAATTAGTGATTTTAACATTGCATGATTGATTTGAAGGCACTGTTGTAGCTGAGTATAATTGGTGTCTCAGCTTGTCTAATAGAAGATTGTCACCTTTCAACAATATTTCAGAGGCTGAAGATTAGTGTTTGTCTTCAAGGTTTTGGTAGTTATGGAGGAGTCAGATTTGAGGATGCCTACTTATTTGAGAGTGGAAATTTCAAGGAGCTTAGTTTTAATACTTTCATGCTCGTCTATCAGAAGATTGATGGTTGATAAATTATTGGAATTGGTGTGTTCTAAGATGTATCAGTTGATGAAAGCATGTATTTGTTCATATTGTCATTGTTGTGCTTGTGATTTAATTACATGTATTTGTTCATTTTCTCATTGATGTACATGTGAGTTAATTGTCGATGCTATTCATATCGTATCATGCTATGTTTTCTTATATTAATTGCTATGTTTATAGGACAATGATATATTTTAAGGCTTCGATTGGTGTTTTGTCATTTTTTTTAATGTTTTTTACATTTTTTCAAATTTTAATTACTTTTTTGAGTTTGTCATTTTTTGAGTGACAAACATAGGTTTTGATTGGTGTGTTCTAAGATGTATTTGTTGATGAAAACAAGTATTTGTTCATATTGTCATCAACATGCTTGTGATTTAATTACCAATGGTAGTCATATTGTATTAAGCTATGTTTTTATTGCTATGTTTACATGACAGTGATATATTTTAAGATTTTGATTAGTGTTTTATCACTTTTTTTAGTGTTTATCATATTTTTCTATTATTTTCTATTACTTTTTTGAAATTTCTATCACTTTTTTTTTATTTGTTAATTTTTTTAAAAAAATTTCTCTCAGTCTTTTTTGAGTGACAAATATATGTTTTGATTAATATTTTGTTAATTTTTTGAATTTTGGCCACTTTTAAAATAGTGTTTATGTCACTTTTCTTGTGATAAACATCAATTTTTAATAAAAAGTGGCATTGAGTGACACTTAAGCCCCTGTTTGTCTACCATTATTCCAAAAAATTGTTTGCTACAATAAGATTCTCCATCACACATTCATCCAATAAAATATTCTACACACAAACCAATAAAGTTACTTTAATTTTTAACCACACATTCTCCAAAAAGTACTATTTATTACTCTTTTTTCTCCTATTAATGGGAGACAAACACAACCTAATTTTTAATAGTGACATTTTATATCACTTTTTAATAAAAAAGACATTTAAAGATGATAAAATGTTCCGTCCCACGTTATCATGCCTAGAATGAATAGGAAGTCGTTGGGAAAATCCGGATCGAGCCGTTCTAACCCTTGGCCAAAAAAAATCATTTCTTTTTCAAAAAATCTATTATTTCCCTAAAATAGAAAACAATGAATCACTCATTTCATTATCTCAATTTCTCTCTCCATACTTCCATGATTTGTTTATAACAATTTACATTCGTGCTTCACGGTAGTAAAGTCGTTGTTGTTATTCATTTCTAATAAAATAGAATATCTACTGTTAATATTTATTTAATGGCGTGCTGTATAAATATTGAAGAATTTTTTTATTTCACGTATTTAACTAAACACTTTCAACTTTTAGAATGAGTTGTTCAAAGAATTATTAAAACTAGCAAAAATACTGACAATCACAATGTTACTTATTTCTATAAATTGTCCACTTGAAAAGTATTTAATAAGAAATTGAATATGGCATGCACGAGAGAAGAGAATTTTGACAAAAAATTTGATAAACGTCTCCCCTCTTTAACATTTTAAATATTTAGAGCAATAATTTAATACCAACGAGGCAATAAT